GTTAACATTGTAATAACAGAGATAAGCGCTTTAAATTGTTATGGCCTTCCAATCTTTTCATTAGTGTCTCTATTGAATATAATCAGGATGGTAGTTTATGCTTTTTTGTTTGTTTTATTTAACTCTGATATTTTCTAGTTAGGATTGTGGCATAAATACATCTTTCAGTGTCATTATTTTTTAGAAAATACAGTTTTGGCAACTACATAATATGATTTTTGTTGGAACTATTAATATTTACAACTTTTCAATGTTGGGGGGCTCCTGGATGGCTCAGTCAGTTAAAGGTCTGCCTTCAGCTCAGGTTGTTATCCCAGCATCCTGGGATCCAGCCCTGCACCACACTCCTGCTCAGCAGGGAGCCTGTTCCTCCCTCTGCTCCTCCTGCCTGCTTGTGATCTCACACTCTCAAATACATAAATAACAAAAACCTTTCTGTGTTGGGCTTTTTGTTGCTTGTGTTTTGCTGTAACAATACAGAGAATATATTTCTGTATAAACCTTTATCATTTTATACTGTTACTTAGGATAAAAGACTAGAAGTAGAATTAATAAGTTAAAAGATGGAAACTTTCTTTAGTCTGTCCATACACCATGTCAGTTTGCTCTCCTAAAAGGCAGTTTTTACCTAATGTATAACAGTTTTTACCTAATGTATAAGCATCCCTACTTCCGTACATACACCAGAACTGTTATTGTAAAAAAAAAAAAAAAAATCAGCGCAAGTTTGATAACTGGAAATGTTATTTCATTTAAACATGCATGTTTTTTTATTTTTTTAATTTAAATTCAATTAACCAACATATGGTACATCATTAGTTTTTGATGTCATGTTCAGTGATTCATTATTTGCGTATTACCACCCAGTACTCATCACATCACATGCCCTTCTTAATGCCCATCACCCAGTTACTCCATCCCCCCACCCACCTCGCTTTCCACAACCCCCCATTTGTTTCCCAGAGTCAAGAGTCTCTCATGGTTTGTCTACCTCTCTGATTTCTTCCCATTCAGTTTTCCTTCCCTTCTCCCAATGTTCTCTGTACTATTCCTTATATTCCACATAATGATAATTCTTTCTCTGATTGACCTGTTTCACTTAGTATAATACAGTCCAGTTCCCTCCATGTCAGTGTAAATGGTAGGTATTCATCCTTTCTGATGGCTGAGTGATACTTCATTGTATATATAAACCACATCATGTTTATCCATTCATCTGCTGAAGGGCATCTCGGCTCCTTCCACAGTTTGGCTGTTGTGGACATTGCGGTGCATGTGCCCCTTCTCTGCACTATATCTGTATCTTTGGGGTAGATACCCAGTAGTGCAATTACTGGATTGTAGGATAGCTCTGTTTTTAACTTCTTGAGGAACCTTCATACTGTTTTCCACGGTGGCTGTACTGCCAACAGTGTAAGAGGGTTCCCCTTTCTCCACATCCTCGCCAACATTTGTTGTTCCTTGTCTTGTTAATTTTAGCCATTCTGACTGGTGTGAGGTGGTACCTCATTGTGGTTTTAATTTGTATTTCCCTGTTGCTGAGTGATGTGGAGCATTTTTCCATGTGTTTTTTGGCCATTTATATGTCTTTGGAGAAGTGTCTGCGTGTCTTCTGCCCATTTCTTGACTGGGTTATTTGTTTTTTGGGTGTTGAGTTTGGTAAGTTCTTTATAGATCTTGGATACCAGCCCTTTATCTGTTATGTCATTTGCAAATATTTTCTCCCATTCTGTAGGTTGCCTTTTAGTTTTGTTGACTATCTTTTGCCATGCAGAAGCTTTTTATCTTGATGAAGTCCCAGTAGTTCATTTTTGCTTTTGTTTCCCTTGCGTTCAGAGACGTGTCTTGCAGGAAGTTGTGGCCAAGGTAGAAGAGGTTACTGCCTGTGTTCGCCTCTAGGATTTTGATTCCTGTCTCACATTTAGGTCTTTCATCCATTTTGAGTTTATCCTTGTGTATTGTGTAAGAGAATGATCCAGTTTCATTCTTCTGCATGTGGTTGTCCAATTTTCCCAGCCCATTTATTGAAGAAACTGTTCTTTTTTCCACTGGATATTCTTCCCTTATTTCTTGAAGCTTAGTTGACCTAGAATTGAGGGTCTGTTTCTAGGTTCTCTCTTCTGTTCCATTGATCTGTGTGTCTGTTTTTGTGCCATTACCATACTGTCTTGATGATAACATGCATGTTTTAAATTACTAGTTAGTTCATTAGCAGTTATATTGTGACTTTTTTGTTCATATTAAATCATTTTTCTCATTGATTTCTATGTGTTTATGATCTCTTCAAGCTGTTAATTTTTTGTCATCAAATATGTAAAAGATCCAGGAGTCATCAGCATGGAGTTAAACATATGAGAATGAATAAGCTCTAAGGGGCAAAAAAATTCTGTGGAGAAAAGAACCTAGGACAAGGCTGAGCCCTGAGGACAACCTACCCTGAAGGGTTTGGGTAAAGAGCCAGTAAAGTAAACAAAGTATTTGGGTTCAGAAGTTAGGAAAAGAGGACACTGAATGCTTTCTGTTCTCTTAAGTTAATTTTTTATTATGAAATCTTTTGTTTCTTCTCAGAATTAGTTAAGTAATTAACTAGTGTTACTCAGTAAAAATTGTTCTTTGATTTAAAAAAATCTCAGCTAACATGATGGCAGGGACTATTCTAAATTTTAGTTTCAGTTAATTTTTCAAAGCTTTACGCTGGTGGTGGTGGTTTTTTTTTTTTAACATTATTTGGGAACTATGGCCTTAGTTTTATGTTTATCTCAGTCTATGTTCTGGACAGGCATATCAAGGGTATAAGTTTAATCTTGTATTTAATTCGTAGATTGACCCTGAAGCAGTTTGGGAGAATTTGAATAAAAGTATAAGAACATAAACAATCTCCTTGATGTGTTTTTTTTTTCTTTTAAGTTTTTATGTGTTTTAAGATGCAAAAAAGCAAAAAATGTAATCACTGTGTTCCTTTTGCTGCCCAAGAAAGAAAACCAAAACAACCAGAGTTGCAGCCCCCTGTGTACTGATCAGATTCTCCCTTCCCTGCCCCCGTTATCCTAAAACTGATATTTACCCTGTATTTTTTTTTTTACCTATGTCCCACATTCTTTTTTTTTTTAAGTGTTTTAAATTTAAAGTCAAATAATTAACAAATAGTGTATTTTTCATTCCAGAGGTAGAGTTCAGTTATTCATCAGTCTTAAATAATACCCAGTGCTCATTGTATCAAGTGCCCTCCTTAATGTCCATCATCTGGTTACTGTATTTCTCCAACCCTCTCCCCTCCAGCAGCCCTCAGTTTATTTCCTATGATTAAGAGTCTCATATGGTTTGTCTCTCTCTCTCTGTGATTTTGTCTTTTTTTTTTTTTTTTTTTAAGATTTTATTTATTTGACAGAGATCACAAGTAGGCAAAGAGGCAGGCAGAGAGAGGGGGGGAAGCAGGCTCCTCACGGAGCAGAGCGCCCAATGTGGGGCTCGATCCCAGGACCCTGAGATCATAACCTGAGCCAAAGGCAGAGACTTAACCCACTGAGCTACCCAGGCGTCCCTGTGACTTCGTCTTGTTTTATTTTTCCCTCCCTTCCCTTATGATCTCTGTTTTGTTTCTTAAATTCCACATATGAATGAGATCATATGGTAATTGTCTTTCTCTGATTGACTTTCACTTAGTGTAGTATCTTCTGTAGAGTTCCATCTTCGTCCTTGCCAGTCTCAAGATTTCATTTTTGTTTAATGGCTGAGTAGTATTCCATTTTGTGTGTGTGTGTGTGTGTGTGTGTGTGTGTATGTGTGTATATATATACACACACACTACATCTTTATACATTCATCTGTTGATGGGCATCTAAGTTCTTTCCATAGTTTGGCTACTGTGGACATTGCTGCTATAAACATTGTGGTGCAAATACCCCTTTGGATCACTACATTTGTATTTTGGGGGTAAATACCCAGTAGTGTGATTGCTGGGTCGTAGGGTAGCTCTATTTTCAACTTTTTGGGGAACCTCCATACGGTTTTCCAGAATGGCAGCACAAGCTTGCATTCCCACAAACAGTGTAAGTGGGCTCCTCTTTCTCCGCATCCTCGCCAACATCTGTCGTTTCCTGATTGTTAATTTTAGCCATTTTGTATGTGCCACATTTTGTATTTCGATCCTTTCATGTTAATTAAGCAAGTGTTTACATAAACTTACTTCTTCAACTGAAATATTTGGATCTAGGGAAAAGTTAAATACATGATTGTATCACTGCTTTTACTTCTCTATTATATTTGCTTTCTCTGAAAAATCCAGCTTTCGCTAGTTCCATGCTTGGTTTAATCCAGTGTTCTACCATTGTGTGATTAGTAGAACTCAGAAATCAGAGGATTTCTGAATAGTGGCTGAATTGCTTTTAGTGGTGGCAGGGAGGATGGTAAGAGTGTTGGGGGTGGGGAGCAATAGGGCAAATAGAAATAAAATCAAATGGATTCCTTCTAAAACAGCTGACTGTCAGTGCATAGCATCATAAGCAGCTTTCTGAAACTTTATGGCTGGGGTTTTTAAACTAATTCAGTAAAGAATTGAAAAGGGGGCTATCCTTGACTCATGTGTGCAGCTCATTTGTACAGAATGAAAACATGTTTATGAAAGCCCACATTAAATGAATGCTGGCATCCAGCTTGATTCAGAAAAAAAGTGAAAGGCCACAAATTAATGGAATATCAGCTCTCTTAATGGCATGCTGACAAGAGTGTAGTAGAAAAGGGTACATGAATTGGGAGATACGGGTTGTGGACCTGGTTCTTTCATGGACTTGTGTGTTACCTTAAAACCAAGTATTATAATAACCTTACCTTGGATTTCCATTTCCTTATACTTCTCCCGAAATAGAGATGGGCAGGGTATAGCACAGTGAGCCATATCTCCTAAGATCTTTTACTTATATAAGTTGACACAGATCTTAAGGTATTTACTCATGAAAAATTTCTTAAGGCTTATGATTTGCTAAATTTTCTTAAAATTTTAGGGGAGACATATAAGGAATTTACATAAGACAGCTGTACAAAATGGAGCTGGAGGAGCCTTATTTGTGGTAAGTAATTATTCCTATTTCTTCAGAATGGAAAGACTTGGAAATTTGGGTAAAACTGTTTTAACAATCCAAGATATCTTAAACATCAATGTCTCATTGTGGTGATTCAAATATAGCTAATTGAATTCATTAAATTTCAAAAGATGTGTGATTCCAGTTGAACCTCTTGAGTTTAAATTGACACCAGGGTAGCCCTGAATTTAGAATATTTTTTGGTGAAATTACTTTGAGCCCTAAACTGATTTCTAGTCTCACTTTGGGTTCTTAAAAATGCTGTAATTTGGGGATTCCCAAAATGGTCTAGCTTAAAACTCCTGGATCTTAGAAATACAGTGAATACATTAGTAGTTCCTTTGTATTTTCCGTTTTTAGGGTTTAACTACAGGTGGAGGTCCATGAACTCCCTAACTTAATTGTACAATTCAAAGATAAGATAACGTATCTCCTTTCTGTGATAAGATACAGTTATCAGGGATTCATCTGGTGTTGTTTAAAGGCAATTTAGTGGACTTCTAGGATGATTTAGAGCTGGTAGTTCAGTTTTGTAAACTGAGTTATTTCCAGGCTTTATCTTGATAAATGAGTTAGCCATACTACTGTGTAGATTCCTGCTTTATATTTTTTCATGTTTGTCTAAAAGTGTTGAATTTGCCACATACTTGAGATCAATGTCCAAAGTTTCCATTTTCTTTTCTTATTTTATATCGTTGAAAAAGCAGAACTTTAAGACTTAACATATTGAGGTATTCAGTTCTGTGTTCGCCACACATACTAAACATTAATTGATGTAAGTGTTAATCTCAGTGTGACTCATTTAATTTCCTGTTTACATGCCATTTCTTGTCAGTTTTTGAAGAGGGCCTGTTCTTTTTGGAGAAGAAATAAAGCTTCTTGCCATTGGCTAGTTTTTGTTATGTGGTGAAGGAATGGTGTTTTTGTACCTTCCTAAAGTAGTGGGTCCTTTTGATAATTTGATACACACTCTTTTGGAACAATGCCTTTTACATGTATACTCAAAATTTTGTGTCTTAATTTTCTAAGTCTTCCAGCGATTGGGTTTTTTTTTTTTTTTTTTAGTAATTACACTAGAAAATCCTGTTCTCTAATCAAGTTTTTGGATTTGGTCCTAAAGTACTTCTGTTAATTATTAAAGAGTGATTTCTAAAACTTTTCTGAAATTTTGAATTCTGTTAACAATACTTTGTTAATCATATTCATTAAATGTGTATTTAATAATTAGTCCTTTTTGATGCATGGATAGATTATATAATGTGGGAATTAAAGTGAAGAGATTAAGTGATCAGTAGTAGTATAGTAATAATACAAAGCTGTTCTGAGGGAGTTTTGATAATTCTGGAAAACATTTTTTCCCTTTATATAGCACAGAGATACTCCTGAGAATAACCCAGATACTCCATTTGATTTCACGCCAGAAAACTATAAGGTATGACTAAGTTAACAGTATAATTAATTTATAAACTATTTAATATCTTCCAGATGTACTAAAACATGTGCTTTTTCTTTGATATAGAGGATAGAGGCAATTGTAAAAAACTATCCAGGAGGACATAAAGCGGCAGCTGTGCTCCCAGTCCTGGATTTAGCCCAAAGACAGAATGGATGGCTGCCCATCTCAGCTATGAACAAGGTACCAAATTCATTTTTACCTTAGTCTGAAAAGAGGAGAGACTGTGTATGAATTTCTTCCTTATGTAGAAATTCCTCTGACGGTTTTTAATGTCAGAATCAAGGAATTTGAGGCTTTTAATCATTTATGTTTCCTCAAATTTGTGTTTTTGTTGGTTCTCTTAATAACGTGGAGAAATGAAAAGGTAGAGCTTTTTATCCTTGCAGGAAATAGTAAAGGCATTATCGTGAAAGTAGTTTTCTCTTTTTTCCCTTTTTTTTCTTTTTTTAAGATTTTCATTCATTTATTTGACAGAGATCACAAGTAGGCAGAGAGGCAGGCAAGGCAGAGCCTGGGTGGGGTGCGGGGAGCAGGCTCCCCGCTGAGCAGAGAGCCTGATGGCGGGGCTCGATCTGGCGGGGCTCGATCCCAGGACCCTGGGATCATGACCTGAGCCAAAGGCAGAGGCTTTAACCCACTGAGCCACCCAGGCACCCCATATGTTAAGACTCATTTTTTTCTAATTATGGTTTCAGCAGTAATTCACATTTCACATTTATTCATGTCATATTAATATAACTATATTTTTGTGGTGTTATGTTGCAGGGTATAGTTTATGAAGTGCCATACAAAATCATGTCTTTTTTTTTTTTTTAAGATTTTATTTATTTATTTGACACAGAGAGAGAGATCATAAGTAGGCAGAGAGGCAGGTGGGGGTGGGGGAAGCAGGTTCCCTGCTGAGCAGAGAGCCCGATGCAGGGCTCAATCCAAGGACCCTGAGATCATGTCCTGGGCTGAAGGCAGAGGCTTAACCCACTGGGCCACCCAGGTGCCCCCCAAAATCATGTGATTCTTAGGAGAATCACACAGATAATAAGCTATATGATATAATGGAAAATACATTTGTCTTTGAGCGAAGAGATGTGGTTTTTCTGTGGACTTCCTTGCTCATCTGCAGTGAAGATTTTGAACTAGGATAGATCTCTTGAAATTACTATGTTATGATTCCTAAGTGATAGAGTTGGGACTGGACCATTTTCAATTCAGTGCATTTCCTACTTGGCTGACTATTGCAGAGATTCTTCTATACTTCATTTCTCTTTTTCACTTTTAAAATTTTATTTGGTCTATTAGGCTAGACCATTATCGTCTTTCTTAAAGAATAGGAATGTCTGGGCGCCTGGGTGGCTTAGCGGGTTGGGCCTCTGCCTTCAGCTCAGGTCATGGTCTCAGGGTCCTGGGATCGAGCCTGCGTCGCCCTCTTGCTCTCTGCCTGCCTCTATGCCTACTTGTGATCTCTGTCAAATAAATAAAATCTTAAAAAAAAAAAAAAAAGAATAGGAATGTCTTCAGTTGATTTAATGGAATGCCATAGGAAGATTTTAAATTTTGTTCATATCTCTTAATTTGCTTTTAACATGGTTATGGACCATTATTATTATTATTATTATTATTATTATTATTTATTTTTTTTTTTTTTGACTAAAAATGATACAAAGCAAGTTTGATTGGTACTATACTTAGTAAAATATAGTCAGGTGGGTTTTTTCCCAATAAATCACACAACCCTTTGGGTATTTTCTAAATTACTTAACATTTTTTTTTTTATTATAATAGCAAACTTTTTAAATAACAGTTTAGGTATGTTTCTATTTATAAATACTTTTTTCCTTGTAAAAATTTAAGTTTTTAAATATTTTATTATTTTTTAATAATCTCTATACCCAACATGGGGCTTGAACTTACAACTCTGAAATCAAGAGTTGCACACTCTATTGAATGAACAAGATGTGTCCCCCAAATTCATGTCCATAATGGCAAATATGTTAGAAGTCTTGCTGAATGGTAAGCTTAACAGAATGAAATAAATGACAACCAATGTGAAAATGTTTCACAAATATTGTCCTGTTCTCTTTAGAATTGAATGTATATGTGTCAGAGACAGGGAATAGTGTATAGAGAATAGAATCAAGATTCCATTTTTATATTTGAGACTTTTAATGTTACTGTTTCTGTGACTCCCCCCTCCCCAAAGGAGAACCCAACCTTACAACCAGAACAATATCCAGAAACTCACATATTAGTTCCTTAACCATTACTAAGGTGTAGAGAGGATACAGTAGCATCCCCAGGGGAGCTTTTTCAAGTTAGGCATCGGTGGTAGAGCTCCAGCATGTATATTTTTCTGGCTCCAGCATGTGTGTTTTGAGAGGGCTCCCAGATTCAGAGGTACATGCCTGGTTTAGTATCACCAAATTAAATTTAGCACAGCCACTTATCTTCCACAAGTGAGCCATGGTTAGAGGTCTTTTGAGAATATATACCTTTTAGAATATTCTAATATGAGAAAGTTCAACATATTTGTCATCTGAAATGCCATTTAACAAACTCATCTTTCATGTCAAAACATGGAAATGTGGATAATTTTTTAAGAATGCCAGACATCAGATCTTAAAATCTGATAGATTAATGATGTTAGGTCACCTGGAAAGTTATAACCAGGTTGATAGTCATGATAGACTCTATGTGGACTGTACCTAGGATACAGCTAAAAAAAACTTGTTTTCCTTAATAGACTTGGCCTGATCAAAAGAGTTGTGCTCAGGTAATGATTCCCTTGGTCCTGAACTCTACTCTGTCAAAAGAAATATTTACTATAAATACCTTGATGTGATGGGTAGGGAAGTACTAATCCATAAGATTTTCGTAGAGTGTTGCGATTTGAAGTAGAAGTGTTTTGGATTGTTCTGGAGAGTTACGTACATGTTGTGTATGTGGTTTGTGTGCATATAAAGTGTATAGATATGTAAATCAGTATAGGCTAATAGGTGAGCTTTGATTCTCGCCCCTTTTTTTGTGTTGCCCATACCCCTTGCATGCAGCATACATCCCAGTAACATCAAGGCTTTTTGAAAAATTGGTGAAGGGTTGAAAAAATACAAGTATTTAATTTATTGGGGCTTGGTCATCAAATTTTGCCATTTAGAAATTTCAGATTATAAAATATGAGAGTTGAAATGATCAAAGTAGAAATTCTTAACAGTGGAAGACTTAAGGATTTAGAGAAAAAGAAGATCGTTTTGCAGAGACCAGGCATGGGGTAAAGTAAAGGAGGTGCTGTAACCATTGGCTTGTGGGCTCTGTGCAGTTGAAGTGTAGATTGGACTTAAACCTCCAAATACCAAATACAGGTATATTTTCTCCTTATGAAGTTTTACATTTTTACCAAGTTGAAATTATGCTCTTTAAAATATACCTAAATCTCAATTAGTAAACATTGTAATTATTTAAAATTTCCTATTATTTTAGGTTGCAGAAGTTTTACAAGTACCTCCAATGAGAGTATATGAAGTAGCAACTTTTTATACAATGTATAATCGAAAACCAGTTGGAAAGTATCACATTCAGGTCTGCACTACTACACCTTGCATGCTTCGAAACTCTGACAGCATACTGGAAGCCATTCAGAAAAAACTTGGTATGGGACACATTGTATTTATACCTTTTATGAAAAATAGGATTGTCTTTCTAGATTTGACCCATTTCTACCTGAGTTTTCCAATGTTTGCCATCTTACTGGACCTGATCTGTACTTCACCAGTAAATTTTTGTCTTACTATAGTTGCCCGCCTTTATTTGTTCTTATTTTGTATTTTTCCTTAGTTCTCAGCCTCAAAGCTGAATTTTCACCTTCTTTCCCCATAATCATTAGGTATGTTTGAAAAGTTTCTAGGGAGGGGTTTTAAAGTTTTCATTATTTAGAAATTAAGTTTCACTCATTGTGTAATGATAGCATGTGGTACATTAAAAAGTGAGTTTACTGTCCTTGTATTCTTCCAAATGAGTCTTGAAACAAATAAGATAAGAGAACAGTAGCAATGCTTTAGAAAGGGAAATTTGAAATAAGATGTTATTACAGTGCCATTTATAAAATTATAAGGGCATTTTTCCATACAAAATAGCCATTGCTTCATTTATAACTCTACAAACCAAATGAAGTAAAAGGGAGGTACACTCTAATCATGTTGCTACCGAATATAAAGTAGTTGCATGTTGTAAAAATAGTTGGGCTGTATTGAAGTATATGAAACAGAAAGCTTGCTTAAGTCTGCTCAAAAATTTCACCCTCACAAATTCTGATTAATAGTTGACTATAATTAGTTTTAGATTTTATGTTGTTTTGCTTATTTTCAGCATAAAAACAAATACGGCTTTTTGCTTTTTGCACTTTATTTTTGCTCTAGCATATGTATGTCTGCCTTGTTTTTCTGTTATAAGTTATTCTGCAGTTACTTTCATGCATACATATCTTTGCATGATTGTCCTGTTGTATTACTGAGGCTATTTACAAGAACAGAATTGCTGAATCAGATTTTACTATATTTTGCCAAAATGTCTTTGCTGAAGATATGAGAGTATCTGTTTTCCTTGTAGTCTTAATGATCTTTGACATTAGCACTTTTCTGTTTTTTGCCAATCTGACAATGTGACTGATTGTAATAGGTTATCTATCACAATTGAAATGAAAATACTATATTCTGATACACTGCTGTTTAACAGGAAATGCTGAAGATAGGAGTCCCCTGAAATCTTGGTTTTTTTTTTTTTTTTTTTTAAGATTTTATTTATTTATTTGTTAGAGAGAGAGAGAGCATGAGCACAGGCAGACAGAGTGGTAGGCAGAGGCAGAGGGAGAAGCAGGCTCCCTGCTGAGGAAGGAGCCTGATGTGGGACTCGATCCCAGGACGCTGGGATCATGACCTGAGCCGAAGGCAGCCCCTTAACCAACTGAGCCACCCAGGCGTCCCTGAAATCTTGTTTTTAAAGGAATAAGTCCGCTTAAGAAATCCTTGAATGTTCTGGTATAATTATACAGAATTGTTTTAAGAAAGTTAATGTTCTTTTTTTTTTTTTTTTTTTTTTTTTAAGGTTTTATTTATTTATTTGACAGACAGAGATCACAAGTAGGCAGAGAGGCAGGCAAAGAGAGAGGAGGAAGCAGGCTCCCTGCTGAGCAGAGAGCCCGACGTGGGGCTCGATCCCAAGACCCTGGGATCATGACCTGAGCCGAAGGCAGAGGCTTTAACCCACTGAGCCACCCAGGCGCCCCAGAAAGTTAATGTTCTTAAATAGTTTTTGTATACCTCTGTAATTTGTTGTTGTTGTTGTTTTCTTAAGCTACATTGCTACTAAAATGTAATCTGGTCCTTACAGTGATTATTTATATTTTCAGGAATAAAAGTTGGGGAGACTACACCTGATAAACTTTTTACTCTTATAGAGGTGGAATGTTTAGGGGCCTGTGTAAATGCACCAATGGTTCAAATAAATGACAACTACTATGTGAGTATTCCATTTAATATAAGTTAAAGTTGTATGATCTCGTATTTAAAATATTTAAATATATGGTTTTCTGTCCTGTAGATACTGATTTCTGAATACTTGTTTAAAAGAAACTGTTGGCATAAATATCCAGGTTTTTTTTTTGTCCTGTTTTCCAAAGTTTATTAAAAAACAAAGAATTGAAAAGTTTTGCATAAAAATGTCAAGTTTAACTTCCACACTGTTGGCCACCAGAAGGTTTTTAAAAATTATTTTTAAACATGTTTGCATTTAACTCTAGGAGATAATGACATATTTTAAAAGCTTTTAAATTATAAAACATAGAAATAGAGAAAATACCCACCAAGATTTAAAAGATAATTCACCATACATACTGTTACTAGGTATTATTTTTATCATCATTGTTATTATTTATAGAAATAAGCCAGCGATAAAGGTAAACCACCTCTACGCCCCGAAATCCTATTCCTTTCATTTCCAGAGATAACCACTATCATAAATTTAGTGTGTATTCTTCCTGTAGGTGTTTTTAAACTGAGTATATGTATCAAGCCATACTAATATATTATATTGCTTGTTTAAAAATTTTAGAGATATCATTCCTCTAAGTACCACTTTAGCTGGACTGCACAAGTTTTGATAAGTAATATTTTATCATTTCTAAAAATTTTAAATACGCATTTTTAAAAATATTTGAGAGGAAGAGAGCAAAATAGAGTGAACATGCATGCTCCTGTAAATACTAATGTTCCAAAAGAAATCTCCTTTCCTTATACCCTCCCCTGTTGTTCCAATGTATAAGGGTCTAGACTAGCAGTTCTTTTTGAGGGACAGTTTAATTTCTAGTTTATCCCTGAGGGAATAGCCTTTTTGGGTGTTTGGGATGTCTCTTGTAGCATGCAGCTTTGTCCCTTAACCCTTTAAGCTATGAAACTCTAAAACCAGGTCTGCTTGGTGTTCCACTTGTTTTCCTTTTTTTTTTTTTTTTAAGCTTTACTTATTTAACAGAGAGAGATCTCAAGTAGGCAAAGAGGCAGACAAATAGAGAGAGGGGGAAGCAGTCTCCCTGCTGAGCAGAGAGCCGGATGCCAGCCTCTGTCCCAGGACCCTGAGATCATGACCTGAGCAGAAGGTTGGGTCTTAACCCACTGAGCCACCCAGGCGCTCCGTTCTTGGGTTTTCATTGAGTTTTTGGCCTCTGGGTATTTCTTTCTTATCAGCATGTTCATAAAATTTAAAGCTTTTTGTTTCTTTAAAATTTTATCCAACATTTTTAGTTTTTTATAGTGGTGGGGTGTTCAGTCAGGATAGCTAATCTGCCATAATACCTGAAATGGAAATCTCCTTTTTTTTTTTTAAATGCAGATGAAATTTGATTTCTCTGGCTGTTTAGATTTCTAGGGTGGTCTCATTCCCTATAGTGACTTTCTTCATTTTAATGATCAGAGATTGAAATTTCTTATCTTCTGTATTACCCATACTTTAAAAAAAAAGTCCTTTAAAAATATGGCAAGTTTTGCCTTCTCCCACATTTCTGCAGTTTACTTATAATATAGAGGGTCTTGATTTAATCAGGAATTAGACAGTCAAGACTTTGTGTGAAGCATTGTAAGTTTAGGGGTGCCTGGGTGGCTCAGTGGGTTAAGCCTCTGCCTTCAGCTCGGGTCATGATCTCAGGGTTCTGGGATCAAGCCCCACATCAGGCTCTTTGCTCATCAGGGAGCTTGCTACCCCCTCTCTCTCTGCCTGCCTCTCTGCCTACTTGTGATCTCTCTCTCTCTCAAATAAATAAATAAAATCTTTAAAAAAAAAAGGCATTGTAAGTTTAAATATAATAGCCTATGGATTTATACAGGAGATAAAGATTAGTAGTGTTATGGTCTTTAGCAAGGCAGTTTTTGTTTTTGTCTTTTAATCCATATCCAACATGGGGCTTGAACATAGGACCCTGAGATCAAGAGCCGCTGCTATACTGACTCAGCCAGCCAGGCATTCCCAAGGCAGTTAACTTTTATGGATCTCAGTTGTCTGGTGGATAAAATGAAAGTCATGTAAACTTTGACTGCATAGGAAAAAACCTGCATAGGAAAAAAACCAGCTATGAAAAATACATTTTGAGGGTAGTTGGTAGATTGTGAATATGGACTTGACATTTGATAAAGGGATTATTTTTGGTTAATTGGGTGTGGTGGCATTATGTTATCTAAGAAAACGTTCTTATTCTTCGGTGTCTGATGAAGTATCAGGAGTGAAGTTACGATTGTCTGCAACTTACTTTCAAACAGCAAAAGTTGGGGTGCTTATGTGCTATATATAATGCAAACACGGAAAATCAAAAATTGTTGAATACAGGTGGTAGGAATATGAGTAAAACTATACATGTATAGTTTTTAAATTTTTATAATAGTTGGGGGGAGGTAAACTCATTAGATGACTTAAAGATTCCTTTTAGCTATGAGGTTCTGAACATTTGTTGAACCCTAAGCAGTTTGAAAGCAGTGTTTTATTTTTACAAATGTTTAATCATTGAACAAATATTAAATAACTTCTATATGGTGAGGCACTGGAGATGCAGTGTTGAATCATGATTTCTCTGGCATAGTATCAGAGTCCTATAAAACATTTTTTTAAGTACTTAACAGTTTTAGAGAGGGAGTAGGAGTATGGTTTGTGCATTTTTCTTTTAATCTTACCCATTCTGTTCTGACTCTTGATTAAACCTAGGGTGCAGCTAGGCACATGGGCATGTGTATCTGTGTGTTTCAATTGTATTTGTTATTTTAAACCAGAATCCTTTCCTGAGGTAAAAATTTTACATAGGTACATAGTATATAAAATGTAGAGCTGTTGTCATTGAAATGGGGAGTGCAAGGAGGGCCAGGGTCATTGAAATAACGTTCCAAAAATAATTTCTTTTACCTTCTGTTCAAAAATTAAGTGAATTTGGAAACAGTGAATTTTACCTGGGAAAGAAAGACGGTATCATGAGAGTATTAAATCTTTAGGTTAGAGATGGATGTTAGGCATCTACTTTTATGTTACTATGACTGCCGGTGCTAATTACTATTTGCACCTCACTATTTCTTTAAGGACATAGCATTTGTTGAGCATGTGCCATGGCACTGTTCTGTTTTCTGTATTTTCTCATTGAATCCTCAAAAACATTCTTGAAGTAGGTTTACTAGTAAAGAAACAAACTTAAGGAGGCTGAATAACTTACTGAAGATTATTAGCTATTCAGTGGTGGAGCCAGGATTCAAATGCAGAACTCTTTCACTTTAAAGTACTCCTCTGTCTTGCCTCATTAGCTGCAGCTCTTCTTGCATACTGCATTTAACAGTATATACTTATATGTAGGAGTTAATCAGTTTCTGCTACCTTGGTGACTAACTTGGGAGCCGAGAAAGACTGACAAATAATGAACTAACTGGTATTAGGGATTTACACAGATTTCAGTAGTAGGAAGTAACTTTAATATGACTTTTAATTTTTTATCCTAGGAGGATCTGACACCTAAGGATATCGAAGAAATTATTGATGAGCTTAAAGCTGGCAAAGTTCCAAAACCTGGGCCAAGGTATGCGTTTATTTCTATACAATAAATTTTAATGGCTTAACCTAATGTATACTTAATTTAAAAAATTTTATCCCTAGGGGCTCCTTGGGTGGCTCAGTCAGTTAAGCATCTGCCTTCAGCTCAGGTCCTGATCCCAGGGTTCTGGGATTGAATCCTCCTTGCCCCCAGTGAGACTCCTTGCTCAGTGGGAAACCTGCTTTTCCCTCTCCCTCTGCTTGCAGCTCCCCCTGCTTGTGCTGTCAAATAAATAAATAAAATCTTAATTTTTTTAAAATAAAAAATTTTATCCTTTAAGGGGTGCCTGGATGGCTCAGTAAATTAAGCATTGATTTCAGCTCAGGTCATGATCTCCGGGTTGTGAGATCGAGCTCTCCATCCCAGTGTGGAGTTAGGATTCTCTCTCTCCCTCGCTCAACCCCTACCCATTACCCTCTCTCTCCCCTAAAAAAAAAGAAAAATATGTCCTAAGTACTAAGAAGGAGTTGTCAGGAGCTTTGGATAGTATTGAAACCAACCTGTCATCTAAAATAACCAATTTTTTTTCCCTCTAAAATCCTATCATAATCATCTGGTATCTACTTGAATATTTATAGAAAAGGGAATTTACTACAAATAAAATCTGTTCCATTGTTTAAAGGTTCATACTTTGATGGACTCAAAGTTTGTTTCCCTCTAATTTCCACTTACATGTCCAGTTCTGCCCTTTGAACTGACACAAGATAACCTCTATACCTCTTCTAAATGATAGCTCTTCAGTTACTTAAAATAGGTGTTTTCTTTTCCCCAAATCTTTTTCTCAGAATTAATGTCTACTGTTGTTTCATTTTTTCTGACCTAGTTTTGGTTTTCCTCTTTGATAGCTTTTCTGGTTGGCTAATGACTTTAACATGGTACTAATATTAATCAGGGTATTTGAGATATGTACTGAGTAGTGCAGAGCACTGTGGGACTCTCCTCTTTGTTCTAGACATTATGCTTATAATAATGCAGCCAAATTACATCAACTTTCACTTCAGGTACATTTCACTAGTAATTGCACTTACAGTCAGTTAGAATGTCTAGATCTTTTTTAGCTTCCTGCACCGTTCATCCCGGTTGTTCCCATTCTGCAGTTGTGTTATAATAATTACTTTTCTTTCAATTATGAACCTGAACTTTTGCTGCTAACCCCTGTTCCATATCTAAGTGCTTATATTGTTCAGAATTTTTTTCTAATACTAGCAAGTGTTTATGTAGTTGTAAGCCCTGTGTTTTTTTCTGCTTATGCCGTATAGTTTTCCTTCTCTCAATATATTTGTAGATTTTAATGTATTAAAAGAACTATGGTGTGCCCTTTATTCCTGTTTTAAATATGTTTTCCTGCTCTTTGTAATAAATAGCAGTTCTGTGTACTCTTTCAAGAGGTAGTTAGGGGCCCAGATATGTAAGTTGAGTTGAATGCTTAAATATAATAAAAGCTGTTTGTTGTAGGAGTGTTTTCAGGAGGAAATGATGTGTAATCTTGTTAAAATTATTGTGCTAGTTACTGTGTAGAGAACAGTTCAAAATCTAGTGATGTTGTGGGGTAGAGGAATTAGGAGTGATTTTTAGCTTTTTGGTCTGAGCACCTCAGTGGTTTCTTTAACTAAAAAGGAGATTTGGTTTGGGAAAGAAAAGGCACTTCGTTTGGGACAGGTTAAAGTTGAGATGCCTCCTAGACATCCATGGTGGAATACCGAAAGGTATATTTGAACATGGAATTTAGGAACTAGATTAGGACTGGAAATCTGAATTGGGGATTCATTGATTGTTATAGATGGTATTTAAAGCCATAAGGCTGGATGAGATTACTGGGGATGAAATTAGTTTGTTGTTGTTCTTAACATAGGATACTATAACATTATTGTATTTTAACATTAATAAAACAATTAACTAAGTGCTACAGTTAAGCATTTTTAATATCTAATAATAGAGATGTTGCTTATCAGTAATTATACATAGTTCTTCACTGGGATTTTCTTTTGAGTGTTCTAGATTTGAGCCAAAAACTTCAGAATTATTGATTTCTGAACCTATTTTTTATTTCCTATGTATCACCTCTTATTTAAAAAAGAGATGGGGCATCTGGGTGGCTCAGTCAGTTGAGGGGCCTACACTTGGTTTCAGCTCAAGTCATCATCTCAGGGTCATGGGATGGAGCCCCAAGTCAGGCTTTATGCTCAGTGCAGAGTCTGCTTAAGGATTCTCTCTCCCCCTTCCCCACCCACATGCTCTCCCTCTAAAATAAATAAATCTTTAAAAAAAATAAATAAAAAGCAGAGGTAAATCTACTTACTTTCAGTAATTGCAGAGCATCTGCCAGTGGTGTCTGTAGAGACTGTATGTGGACATGGTAGTTCTAGAATGTCTTCCCACCTTGAAAGACAAAAACTTCTGCTCTCCTTCCTCAAGCTTTTTGGTTATATAGTATAATGCAAGAGATTGCAATGATAGTAACCAAAATATAATTATAGTTAGACTTTAAATAAACCAAAGTTGGGCAATTTTTTATTAGTGTTTTTATAATAAAGCACTCTGCCCACATATGTAAAAGACACTGTCTTTGAGTAACCAGAGATATTAAACTGGTTCAGCAGTACCTGGTTTCTGAGTACCATTACCAGGTCTGTCCTGACCAAAATCAGAAGAGAGTCATGTTTTTTGTGTGGTTCCGAGGTTCCGAACTGCTTTTTTATGTTTTTGGTAAATGACAGGTAGAAAGGAAATACTAAACTGATGGTAAAGCATTGCTTTATTTTGATATTAAATATTTGTGCTGAGATTGTTTTCATTTTTAAGTACCAAAAATAACTTCTTTTAGCCTGCTTTGAAATTGCTAATTAAGAGGTAGAAGTTGTTTTTTTAGTATGGTTAACTAAAACTAGTTTGAAATCCAATTTGAATTCTTCATATTTCGTTTTATAAAGATACCTTTTTGCAGAATTCTATGATGTACAGATAATACGAGATGTAAACAAAATAGAGGTTGTTGCTGATGGATAAGTCTAGACTATAAGGTCACTTTTGTTTTTTTATACTAAAAGTAGAGGGCAGTAGTGTGTATATCTCAGCAATATTAAAAGAATAAGCACTAAACTTTCATGACTAGCTTTTCTTTAAAAAGTATTTCTAAGCCATAACCAGTGTACAGATAGGCCATGTTTTCTAGAATGCAAATGAGTTAAAATGAATGTACAAATAGTGTTGGAATGGCTAAAAAAACCAGATTTACCTTTTGAGTTGTAATAAAAACAAGGTAATTAATAGATGGCATTTTATTTATTTATTTTTTAAAATATTTTATTTATTTATTTGACAGAGATCACAAGTAGAGAGGCAGGAAGAGAGAGAGAGGGAAGCAGGCTCCCTGCTGAGCAGAGAGCCCGATGCGGGACTCGATCCCAGGACTCTGAGATCATGACCTGAGCTGAAGGCAGCGGCTTAACCCACTGAGCCACCCAGGTGCCCCATAGATGGCATTTTAAACATAACACTTGAGGCAAATCATTTTTTGTTTTTTTATGAAGTGAAAACCCTAATGTAAATTGTGAATGGAAGGGCTAGATCCCTGCCTCTGGTGTCTGATGCATATTTACAGATAAAATGAGGGGAAGGCTGTATGATTAATAGATGAAACACAGTCTGTGGACTTCACAGCCTTTGTAGCATTTTAATGTGCATTTTGTGTAGGGTGAGGGAAGGAGAAAGTTTGGAGGCAGACACAAGAGGTAGTTAACCATCCCCCCCCCTCCAAAGTAGGTCATGGGACTATAATTACATGGAACAAACTTTACAAAAATGGACCAGATCACTCTTGAAATTACATTCTTATACAAAAATCCACAATTCCTTGAAGAGTTCAGGCAGTGTGCATGATTAATTCTCCCACTTATTGTTCTAAAAACCTGTTTTAAGTAAGTTCTTTGTGTTGGTAAAGAAGGTAGGTGAGCTTAAACCATAGAGGAAACCTAGTAAAGGGGAAGAAAGGTCCTCCAAAATAATTTCATTAGCAAAGAGCAGTAGGTATTACATGTATTATTAGTTAACATAAACAATTACAAAGCCAAATACTGTGGGTTTTTTTTTTTTTTTACTAAAGTTAGATACCATTTTGCTACTACCTACATTAATTTTAGATTTAGACAGATAGCTCGTAGTTGTTTTTTGATCTGGTTTTCAATGCAAATATATTAATTTCTGACTTTGTAGGCACTCTTCATTACAATACACACTTAGTTACTTGCATTGTGTAATAGCTTGAAAGATCTTAAAGAATTATCCTGTTCCCTGAATAAAAAATGATTTCCTGGAGCTCTAAAAAAACTTGCAAGATTGATGACAGAATGTGAAGGGCAAAGCAAGGAGTAAAAAGATGTAAATTGAACAATTCTTCAGCTGACGTCTGTGACAGGAGCAGGTAAATTAACAAAGCCAGGAAATAGAAGGGGTGAAATAGTAGTAGGTGCTGAGCTGGGCTCTAGCAACAGAGGTCAGACAGAGGAAGAGGTGAGTGATTACCTGGGAAAGTATGTGTGGGGGTGAACAAAAGACAGGTTGTTCTACCTCTATGCTTGCCTCTCTTCATAGATTCCTACCTAAGGACCTGTTCCTGTTCTCTTTGTGGCTGTGGGTAGCCATTCTGATCTGGAACCTGTTTTGGAAAAGTTAATACTACTAATATTGCTTTTAAAAATACGAATACCAGTATATACTTTGTTTCCAGTGCCTCTAAGGAAACCCCCTTCTAAATCTCCAAATTCCCATTTCCTTTAATACCTCTGTTTTATTTCCAAATCTAATGTTTGTATTCTCTTCTGTTCACTGTGATAATGGATCTCAATCTGAGTAAAATTCAAATATAAAAAGAATAAATGTAATGCTTTTATTAAAACATTATTTTTTAAAAAGATCTTAGAGGGAGGAGAGAATCTCAAGCAGACTTTGCACTGAGCGCAATGTAGGGCTCCATCCCACAACCCTGAGATCGTGACCTGAGCCAAAAAGAAGAGTCACATGCTTAACTGAGCCACCCAGGCACAGGATTTTTAAAAATGTTCTCTGAGTCTGCGTTAGTTTCTTATAGTTCTTAGCTCTGATCCTTGGACAGGTGGTGAAACCCCTAAGCCTTCATTTCTGATCTGTAAAATAAGGCCAGTATTACTTGTCTCATGGCATTATTTAAATGAGCTAATAATACATGTACACTGCTCAGTAAATGGGAAGTAGTAGTGTTACTTTTTTTTCGTATTTATGGTGAGTTTTGATATGTCCATTTTCATATTTAACTTCTGAAAATATTGCAGCAGTTGAAATGCTCGGATTAAATAATCCATGCAACTTTTGGATGAAAAATAGTTATTGGGCTGTTGTGAAATAACATTTTAAATCAAGATTTATAAATGGTAATCGTTCATAGTTTAATGTTACTTGCTCTTTTCAGGAGTGGACGCTTCTCTTGTGAGCCAGCTGGAGGTCTTACCTCTTTGACTGAACCACCCAAAGGACCTGGCTTTGGTGTGCAAGCAGGACTTTAATTTATATTCAGCTGTAAATATTGTCACTGGAGAAATAAAAAGGAATCTCCTATCTACATAAACTTTTTATATTGTTCATTTCATTGTGTATACTTATGCTGTAAGTGTCATGTTGAAACTTCAGAGTACCATTTTAGTTTTTTGCTATCTCTGGCTAACTGAAGACACTAATTCATAATGTGGTTAACAATCACTCAGTATCATCATTTTCAACTGCCAGGTCACTTTTATCAGTAACATTAGATTATTGTGAAGTAAAAACTATGTCAAATTTCACATATATTTTGCTTTAACTAAACCCAAGTCTTAACATGATCCTTCTATACACCTTGTTTACATTAGTACTCCCCTCCCTTTAAACATTTTCAGATTTACAGCACATAATTGTTACTCTGTTTCCAACTAGTAAGTCATATCTCAGGTAGAGGTCTAAGGATAAAGCAGTTACCTCTAGAAGTAGTGTTCTATCATTTTTATGAAAGAGAGGCACTTTGTTTTTGTCTATAGCAAGTACATAGAAACTGGGTGGAGAGACTGGAAGTACAATCTGAGTCAGAAAGAGCAGTCAGTGAACAAAATACTCTTCAGCTGAATGCGTATTTCAACTCAGAACAATGGATAAAACCTGTGTATTATATACGCTCAAGAAACTAGCTATGGTGCTTTAGTATTGCAAGTTAGAAAAAAATTAATAGCTTTAATTCAGGGATAAATCTAAATCCAGTTATTTCAGGATTTCTCAAAATCATTGTTTGGCCTTGTTCTTCTGGCAGACTGACCAGTCACGTAGTAACTGTGATGCTTAAAAACATGATTATTTTTAAGAGTCTCTTTAAAAATTAGTTTTTGTTTTTTACCTGGGAGGGTAAATAACAACAGTTAATTTCTTAAGTGGCATAGAAAGGTAACACAATGAAAATGCCTCTCTTCTATCCTAGGGCCCTCCTAACCTGTTGACTTTTATTAAAAAAAGTAAGCTTTTTATACTTTCATTAAAAAAGTAAGCTTTGATGTAATTTTTTTTTTTTTTTAAACAAGAAGAAAAATTAGAGGTGGGAAGCTTCAAATACTGGGTGAAAAAACCAAAGACCTGTATTAAGGATGTGCACTGATTATCAATTTTTATGTAATATTTTAGAAACAAAGTTAATTTTAGATTATTATAACTGTAGGCATACTGTTACACCATTATCAAAATATATTCTTTAGTTCTTAGATTATCACTTATATTGTATTGCAGCAGTGTACATTAGAATTTTGAGTCTTGCTTAATTTTTTTGCCTAATTTTCTTAAAAATGCTGTCAATAATGATAGTTATCTGATTAGCTATAGAAACACTGGGCAGGTAAAAACACCTGGCAGGTAATCCACAATGGTTTTAAAATGTATATGAACACACTGATTAATATTTCTTTGCCCATTTTCGGAGATGACAGCTATATCCTTGCCTATTTCTCAAACATGTAGGGAGAGGTAGACATCATTTGTGTGTGTACCTCATTTCCTCTTCTCAGTTCCTAACTCTGTGCTGTTTTTTAAAAAGGGGGTATTCAAGGAGGAAATCTTAATTGCTGTTTAATGACAAAAATAATTTATTCTCTCTACTGACAAAGAATCTAATTCGTTTTTTGTGGGTTTTTTGTTTTTTTTTTGTTTTTTTTTTTTTGTAGCAACTACTAAAAACTGATTGCTCAATTACTTGCTGTAATTGGGTGGGGCCACTGCTCCAGAAAATCCTACAACACATAGTAATCGTTATAACCATATTTGCTGCAGAGGCATTACATATGTATAGACTAAGTCATATAACAAGCTATGATCTGAGATTGTATTTCATTTATTACCTTCACCTTCCTGAAATATAGCAGGATTTTTTAAATGACCTGACTTAACTGGACTTAATGTACCAGCTGATTATAAAGGCGTGAAGAACTAAGTAAGCTGGTAAGAAAGTAACTTTTGCAGAATGGCTTCTAATTCAGGTATCAAATATAGTTGACTCAAAGAATGCCCAGCGTTGGGGGGGTGGTGCAGTTAGGGGCATCAACTCCCCTCTGAATTGAAAATCCTCCTGTAACTTAACTCCCCTGAAAACTTAATAGCCTCGGGGTGCCTAGGTGGCTCAGTGGGTTAAGCCACTGCCTTCGGCTCGGGTCATGATCTCAGGATCCTGGGATCGAGCCCCACATCAGGCTCTCTGCTCCACGGGGAGCCTGCTTCTCCTCTGTCTCTGCCTCCCTCTCTGCCTGCTTGTGATCTCTCTCTCTCTGTCAAATAAATAAATAAAATCTTAAAAAAAAAAAAAAACTTAATAGCCTACTGTTAACTGGTAACATAAACAGTTGATTAGCATATTTTCTGTTACATGTATTATTTATATACTGTATTCTTACAATAAAGTTACAGAAAAGAAAATGTACATCTGCATTCCCGCACTTAAAAAAAGTTCATGTATGAGTAGACTCACGCAGTTCAAAACCCATGTTCAAGAGTCAACTGTATACATGTTTTAAGTGTCTGTTTAACTTTGGCTAAGACTGAACTTCAATGCTTGGGGACCTTGACCTTTTAGTACTATTATGAAAACTGATGCTTTACCCACTTGGTTAAGACTTGAGCCAACGAGAGACAGGGCTATACAATTAAAAGTCTTGGCAGCTTACTAGCCAGCTAGCTTGTGGATATAAACTTTTCTTCAGACTTCTTTGAGACCTCTATCTGTAATAGCTATAATATTTATTGATTTATATTTCTAGTTTCACATTGAAAAGGAAAATTAGCTCCTCTTGCCTTCCTAAGTATCATGCGGACCTTTTGAATAATAAATGGTGGCTAATTTATAATTTGCCCATATAATCTTTTTTTTTTTTTTTGAGATTTTATTTATTTATTTGACAGAGATCACAAGTAGGCAGAGAGGCAGGCAGAGAGAGAGAGAAGGGGAAGCAGGCTCCCCGCTGCCCAGAGAGCCCGATGCGGGGCTTGATCCCAGGACCCTGGGATCACGACCCGAGCTGAAGGCAGAGGCTTTAACCCACTGAGCCACCCAGGCGCCCCTGCCCATATAATCTTAATACGAACTTCATTAAATTTTTTTTGCAACTAGTCCCATTGAGTGTAGTCAATACAGTGCCCTGTAGCACAGCTGCCTTAGGAATCTCTTACATATTCAGTGATTTTAGGTAAAAAGATTGTACATATAGTCGTTGCCACTAATTATGGTTAATTTACTCCAGCAAATTCAAGGTTACCTACATTTCAACTTTGAAGTGAGGCAGTGCTATAGAAATAACAATTGCCATTGCCATTGATACTAATCACCATGAGTTAAATGAGAAGTCAGTGATTTGAAGGGAGTTGGTTAAATTTTAGTGGGTTTCTTTGTATTTCATGCCATAAATATCCATGTTAAATGTAACTGTAGGGGCACCTGGGTGGCTCAGACCTGGCTCAGTTCCTGGTTGGGACTTCCTGCTCAGCGGGAAGCCTGCTTCTTCCTTTCCCATTACCTCTCCCCCTACTCGCGCTCTCTCTGGCTCTTGCTCACGCGCAGATAAAATCGTAAAAATAAATGTAACATTATTTCACCTCTAGCGTAATGGGTTCTCTTACTCTTCATAGTGAACCTAATGATTTACCGGTGGAAGAAACCAGGAAACTAGGAAGGGAAAAATTAGTGACCTTTAATCCAAGTTTATGTTTCATATAATTTGTTGGGATTTAACTTCGTGTCAAGTCTAAAGTGTCACATCACCGTAGACAAATCTGTTACTCCATTAAGTCATAAGTAGGTGCTGTAGTTTGGAGACCATCATTAATGATGAGGGAGGTGGTTTCCGTCCAATTATGTATCCCCTTTAGTGGTTAGATAAAGGCATGAACAAACTGGCACATTAACCTCGATGTAAACAAAAAGCGTTCAGAAGTTAAGTCAGAATAAGATGGTTTCCCTCAGAGTATGTAATCCCTTTGGTGGTTAAGTAAAGGAACGTACAAACTGTCGCCGGCTAACCCCGATGTAAATAAAAAGCGTCCAGAAATAAGAGTACCCGCTGCTGGTACGCCGAGACCGTAAATTTTCCTCACGTGCTCTTCTCAGTACTTGAGCAGTTCCTCTGAAATACTATCTAGGGTGTAGAGAAACTTATTTCTCTCAAAAGGTCACTCGAAGGTGTGAATGGGAGAGAGTATTGTGGGGCTCGCGACGATGTCCCCGCGCCAGGTGCACGTTAATGTACTTTCGAACTCACACTGAGGCCCCACCTGGCACAGGTGAGGGCCGGCGCGTCGGGGCGCCGCCGAGCTCCCCGCAGGTCCGGGTCCCGGGGGATCCGGTGCAGGTGCTGTACCGCCAGGGCGCAAGCGCACTACCGCGCGGACAAGGGGGCCGCGACGTGCCCCGCGTCTCGGTACAGGCCCGGCCAGCTGTTCGCAGCTGCTAATTCAGGGGACAGATACCCTGCTTCTCTCTTTAGACCTATTTTCCCGGGCTCGACCCCACAAATTCGCCCACCCGCCCTACGAAAACAGTATGTAGAATACCCTGTGTGCAGCCTCTTCGCCGCAGTCGCCGCCATTTCCAGAAGTTTCTAGTCACATCCACGGCCATGGTCGCCACAAAAAGAGACTGCAGAGCCCTCCGGCCCCGCAGCGTCAGCTGAGCCAGCGCTGCTTTCTTGCGCATCCCAATTCCCCTCTGTTTTCCGGCCGGTGACGGCTGAGGGAGACGGCGACACCTGGGTGGGGAAGGGAGAGAGCGAGCAACGAAAGAGGAGTTCCGGCCTGCACCCCCGCCGCCTCTCACTTGGTACCTTCCGACTCCTCCGCCCCGCGGCTCGGGAAGCTTCTCCACAGAACTGAAAGAGCGGCGCGGTAGCGGGGAGGGGCCGGCGGAAGGGGCGGGCGGGCGCTGGGGGCGGGTCGGTCACGCCGCCCGTCCCGTGCCCGCGGAGTCACGTGCCTGCGTCGCAGCCAATCGCTGGGCGGCGCTGTCCTGGGAGCGAGGAGGCTGTGGTGAGAGACGGACGGAGACCGGAGATGTTTTCAAGCCCGGCCTCCGCG